CTTCCGCAGGGAGAGTTACTGGAGGGAACACTGGTTACATGTGGTGTTTCCCCATATCCCCTTTGCACCAGGTGGTGCCCTCTATGACTTTGACGGCTGTAATCCTAAACCTCTGAGCAGAGGTGGCAGCAAGGAGAAGAGGCGTCAAGATAGGAGGATCAGGAGCGAGGTGGCTAGATCCGGGATACCTATCACCACCTGTCTACAGAGGTCAGAGATGGACGAGTCAGACCAAGAGCCTTGCTGCGCGAGCGATGTTGACCTGGGGGACTATTTTGACTGGGATACTCATAGAGACTGAGTACGCTTGAGTTTGGAGCAGGCCCAAAGCATCTTATGACATTGGTCACTTGAGCGAGACGCAGGCGGAAAGGAGCCCTACGACGGGTTGCTTATCTCTTGGCACGGTACTTGCTTGAGGGTGATTAACCCAGGCATTACATGTCAGGAGGACCCAGGTCAGAGGAGGTAGTCGGCCCTTCAAGGGGGAAGGGACCAGTCTCATATCTTGGGGATGGCTACAGTCACTTGGTGGGAGCAGACTTCGTCATAGAGGCTTTTCGGAAGCCTCTCTATGGAGACCGTTTTCTGGAGGTTTCATATGATTACATCTACGGCAAGGGACAAATCGAGATCTTGATCGGTGCCACTGGCAGCATTTCCCTCGCTGAGGAGTTGTACCTTCGGAGTGTTGCGGACGAGGAGATGGCTAGATGTATGGCATATATCAGCAAGATCGATCCTGCAGCATCTTTTGACATCAGCTATGTGGTCCCAGAGTCGATGGCCACTCAGGTTCTTAATGACGAGGAGGACCAACGTGTACCGGATACAGTCCCAGACAATCGAGCCCACTCATGAGGGGGTACCACTTGTCGTCATTGACTGAGGCTCGTATCTTCTAGTCACTGAGATGTACTATGACATTATTATGATTTACCAGTGACAGCAGCCCCCTTTTATGGCTGCTTCCCGCACTCTCTGTGTACTACTCTTCAGTCTCGTGTCTCTAGTCATGCTCTTGCACAGTCTGGTTTCTGGTCTTTTCATCCTCTTAGTGTCATTTGATTTATGATGCATGTCCTGTAATGCACGGAATGTTTATGCATGAGATAACAAGTTTTATCACTCCACATGAGGTTACACTCAAGGCTTCTTGAAGGACTCCTAGATAATAGGGACTCTCGTGACCTTGAGTCTAACCTTTATACGGGGTCAGGTGCAGGCGATAAAACCGAACACCTCACTCTAAGCCGTGTCGCCGCTGGCAGGAGGGATAACCCTGACTTCTCGACTGTGTGACAAAGGCTGCTTGTGATTTTACTCCCAATTTTCCTAAAACTTTCCAAAATCTTGCGTGACAGCCTGCCAGTCCACCAACCCACTGTACTCAGCCCGGGGAGGGACATAGAGCCAGACCCTGGAAACGGTGGGGGCGCGACGATGCGCGCAGGCAAAAGGCGATGTGCAGTTGCGGGTAGAAATTCCGGCGCATCCAATTTCCTCATCTAATTAAAGTCCTAATTACAAAAAAAAGAAAATTTGAGAGCCCGCAGAGGCTCGTTCTAAATTCAAAAATTCCAAAGGAGTTACCCGCGCGATTATCTCACCAAAAAAACGGACGCCTTATTTGAAAACAAAAGAAAAACAAAAACGAAAAGAAAAGAGAAAAAGGTCATAGCCGAAGTTATTCCCCCTCCTCGCTCGCTAAGGCGCGGACCTACCGTCCCAAGGTCCATAACCGTCACTTTCTCTTCCCCCAAGGACCATGGAGAAAATTTTGAAGAATCAAGAAAGAGGGACCACCATTCAATTTATCCTCCATCCCTCTTTGTACCCCCGATCCCGTTTGCGCCAAAGATAGCGTTTTACAAAAAGTAGTTCGTCACAACGCACCGTTTTGACCCCCGACCTTCTCGTTTTTTTTTCTGAGAAAGGTGACGGGTCGTTCCCTGCACACGTCGTGCGCCGTACGGGATCGGTTGGGCGTGTGCGCCGCACATAGGGAACCTTCCGCGCGGCGTGCGCTTGCAAGTATGTTTTATACCTTTGGATTGGGTCCGCATTTTAAGAAAGGGACCTAAGCTCCTCATGAGTGATCGGGTTGCCATTACAGGTCATCCAAATAATGTAGGTAATATCTTAGGGGTTCGAGAGAATGGGGAGGGGCTACTCTCTGCGTACGAATTAGCTCATGACCATACAGTTATAATTAAAGACCATGGTAGTACAAAGTGGGTGACTATGAATCAGGTTTTTAGGATCATGGTGTCAAAGCACAATTTTAAATGGGTGGCCTTTAAACTGCACACACCTATTAATCAATTGGCCTTTGATCCAACTAATAGGAAATGGTTCAACTCAATAAGGAAAGGTAGACAATATTCTCTTTCTCTTCATACATTGTCAGTTAGATCCACCTATCGTATGCTTCGTCCTAGGATTAGTCTAAGAGAGACAGTGGAAGAAAGGTGGAAGAAGCATCTTAATGTGAGTTAAATATCATTGAGGGAGATCAAGCGACTTAGGACGATCAAAGACAAACCTGCCAAAGTGGCTTCAAATGGAGGCAGTAAGACTGGATGGCCAAATCCTACAGGAAGAAATTAGACTGTATGTGCAAGCTGAAATTACTATTCAATGGGAAAAAGTGAAAGAAAAATTAGTAACCCTACATACTAAAACAGAAATCAAAGAACACATCCAACAATTCAGCAAGGACTGGCTGGGGGGGATCTAGGGGAAGCCCATTGCAAATATTCGATGGGAGGGGGTTGGGGAAGGAGAAGGGGGGGGGGGGAATTGTGGGACAAAATGGCAAGAACTACCAACTTCTTTTTCAAGACTGGACAGATATCCATCAGGACATCCCTTGGCGCCCTGCGTCGGACTTCCCCGACCCTTTCCCACCACCAGCTCTAGCTATGGTAGGGGAGCAGTGGTATGGAGGAGGGGATTCCTAGCAGAAGGAAGCAGCAAGACACAAGGATCAGGCAAGGGAGAAACGACACCTGGTAGCTAGTAAGGGGGAGGGTGGGAGGGTGGAATCAGCCTGTCTCTGTCTGATGTCCCATGGCTAGGTCAAAATAGATACAGCATTTACCTCTGAAACCCTTTGAAGAATTCTCTGACCCCTTTCTCCCCCTTCCAACTGCCTGGTAGGAATGCAGTGGTGTGGTACGGATGGAGGAAAAGTGCAGTTGAGGGTTAAAAGATCTAAGTTGTAAATATAGATCGACACCCCTTAGTGCCAGGCCTTATCAGCTTTAGATGGCGCCCTTCTTTGGAGGGTGAAGAGGCACAGAGGAGGGGATCTCACAGTTGCTAGTTTCATTGTTTTCAGACAGTACCATTGGCTGTATATGGGACTCTGGACCCGTTTTCCAGCAGGTGATGCTCCCCATCAATAGATGGAGCCTCTCCCTAGGTGTTAGTGGTGTCTGCTCTTATCAGCATCACTAACACCGGTGGACTTAAAAAAAAAAAAAAANAAAAAAAAAAAAAAAAAAAAAAGGCTTCACTTCAATGGCAAATAGGACATAGGTCTTTACCTACGAATGACTGGCTTATAGACAGGACTACATTGGAACAAGGGGGTGTGGCTTTTCCCTGGTATAAGTTACGTAAGTCGGCTTTTCCATCTAGGTTAATCCCAGAGACAATTGAGCATATCTTCCTCCAGTGCCCTAAAGCCATTTGGTTCTGGAGATGGTAGTATCATATTTGGTCACACCTGGGTACTGCACTCCAGTGGCCATGGGACTGTAGGACCCTCCTTCCGGAATCTTGATTTCCAGACACCATTAATGAAGTTTGACATAATTTGTACATTCATGGAAGGAGGGTTGTTCTATCGGCTATCTGGTTGAGGAGGTGTATTTATGAGATGGAAGGCGCTCGATTGGATGGTCCGGAATTCAGTGACATATAAAAATACAGATTGCTACTAAATGTGAGAAAGTTAAGGAAAACACTCAATTCTTATCGTCGCGAAAAGAAATCCTTCAACACATTCAAGAATTCAATCAATGCTGGCTAGGGGGAACCCAACGGCGAAAGTTGGGCCAGGTTAAGTGGGAAGGGACAGGCTGGATCACGAAGAAGTATTCAGGGATTACCGGCTTGAATTTAATGATTGGACTACGATTGATCCTGCAGTATCTTTATGTAGTTTATGTCCCCTTTCATAATTCCCAGACCCCTTTCCTCCCTCAGACTTGTGTAAGGCACCCAGACCCTGGTTTGGTTACGAGTAATAAGAAAAGGTTGAAAGGGTTTGAATGATTAGGGGATAGTCTCTCCTGTTGAAGGAGGAATCTGCTTGAAAAGAGAGGTAGATCAGGAGCCCTTTAGGGGGTGAAGACACATGCTTCCCTCCAAAGTTCAAGTTCTTATTTTAATCTGCATTCCTATATTTCTTTTTAATTTCATGTACTTCATGTATTGTGAGATGTTGGACCCGTTTTTGAGCAGGTGCAGCTCCCCACCAATAGATGGAGCATTGGTCTTTATGAAAGGCCTTCCACGATTCAGACCCCAAACTCGAAATACAAGGTCAAGGTTTCAGTTCCAGGGCGGCTAAGTTGGTCAATTTCGGAGAAGTCACAATCGGGTACCTTAGAGGTCAAATCCAACTGGCACCCGATGAACAGTCACATCCCAGGGGTGAAAGTCACGTCTCAAACTAAAGAGTTATACTGAAAAGTCACATTCCAAAAGCAAAGGACACTTGCTAAGGTAAGCGTCGTGTCCCAGAGGCAGGGGTCACAGTCCACAGTCAAAAGTCATGTTCACAAGTGAAAGTCGTGACTCTCAGGCCCAGGCAGCAGCACACCATTGGAAAATTGGGAAAGTACCAGGCCCTGATGTTCGGAAGCAGACAGGCCCTGGGCATGTGGTACCAGGCCGAGGTGAACCATTTGTAGCAGAGGCTAGGACACCCAAAATGAAGATCGAAGGCAATATTAGGACTTGCCAGCCTCTCATTCGGGCAGAATGCTTATTCGCGTGAAGTGTAGAAGTGCTGGTGCACTTCTGCGCTATTGGGAAGGGCAGAGCGCTGAGCCAGAGTGCTGCGCTAAGAGAGAGAGAGAGAGAGAGAGAGAGAGAGAGAGAGAGAGAGAGAGAGAGAGAGAGAGAGAGAGAGAGAGAGAGAGAGTTAGCGCTGGAAGGAAGAAGGCAGCCATAGTTGCGTCAGTGCAAAGTTTTAGTACTAGCTAGTGGCAGATAGTAGGCATAGCAGTGGGTGTATCCAGAGTAGATCCTTGAGTAATAGTAGTGAGTGTGCATGCATGTAGGGAGAGTGGACGTCACGAGGACATAGCTAAAAAAAAAAAATAGTAAGAGAGAAAGAGAGAAGAAGAGCTGGAAAGAGATACCCACCTGAGACTTATCGTTGACTACTGGTTACCTTTGCATGCGCTGATGAGCGCTGGTGACTTGAACTCTTATTGCTCTTGTGATAATTTGTTGGAATTCATAAGCTGCGTTATCTGGTTTTCGACTTTCTGGCATCCAATGTGGAATTTGTGTCATCTCATTTGTGTTTGATGCATGTTTATTTGTACACTCTTTGGTGATGAACTGTGGCTCATAGCAAACTGGTATCGGAGCCATAGCTCGCTGCATCCAATGAACATCGCTGACAACGATTAAGACTGGTGAGTAGAAGGATAAGAGAGTGGGAGATCTGACAGAAAGGTGGGAAAGGTCAAGCCGAAGAAGAAAGGGCTAGGGATTGGTGATCACATACCTGTCATTGTTGCGCTGGACCTAACGAGGAGCTTCACCAACGG